CACGCCTTGCGTGCCTATGTTTAAAAGTAGCAATCTATGAACATTGTAAAATGACTTAAAATTCACAATACAGGTATACAGTAATGTACCTTAATCTGCTTTATCCAATTAACCACAGCTGTCTCCAGCACATGAATGACAGCTGGTCGTCTGCTACTGTATGCCGCAGCCTCTGACAACACCTCAATGGATGGCAAGGGTAGCGTGACCTGATCCTTTGAACTGCCCTCGGCAACCTGCAGGACTGAAACCATCCTGTGCACCAAGTCCATCAACTTGTCTCCACTGACACCTCCGCCCATCTCAATACTCAGCAGCGGCAAGAAGACATCCTTGGTTAAAGTACTGGCATGACTTAAGGGTTGATACGAACAGTCGCAGAAGGCCACATCGGTGATAATGTTGTCCCTGGAGAGCTTTCCTGCTTCATGAATCTTAACAAAGTAAACTGACTTCTCTCTTAAGCCACTGGGTGGATTCAGTGATGCTACAAGGTTTTTGCCAGCAGGAGTGGTTGACGAGAAAATAAACAGTTTTTTCACTTCTTCATTGTTGCAGAATTCAAACATAGCCTCCCTAGGGAAAAAGAGAATTTCATCAGCAAAATAGAAAGAATTGAGCTGGAGAATACCCTAAGGCATATAAATCTTCATGAGATATAGTTATTTATTACACAGTTCATGCACAGACAATCTGAAGAACCATGTCAGGGGTATTTCGCACATTTTCTCTTCTATGTTACAGTCGAAAGAGGGTAGAATCTATTTCGGTCCTGAAGTCAAGGAAGAGAGGAAGAAGCAGATGGCTGTCACTTACACAAAAGTGCTTGGTGCACTCTCAGGTTGGGTTACACGAAGTGGCTATACTCTTGTAGGAGTCAATTAATCACACTCCTACTATAATTTATTAGTAGAACGCTACTAGTAGGTATACACTGTACATAATCAAATGCCACAATCTGATTGACTGTACAACCATGCACTACAAGCTACATGTATATGTATCAGTATGTCTACAGTGGCTGTTCTCCCACTCTGTATGTTGCATGACTATGCACAGTATTTCCTCAATAGTATATCCTGTACATGTATACAACCAAAGATTACTCCAGGACCTGCAAGTAAAGCTAATGCCCCCTTTTGAAGTCTTACCTGCTCTTTTCATTAGTAAACATATACTTGAGTTCCTCTGCTCGTGGTTTGAGGGACGACGTCACCCTGATCTCTATCCATCTTAGCCTCTCATCCAGCTCCATATTTCACTTGTGTCGTTGTTAAAACTACTTATTTGCCTTCATAACTTTCCTGAAAAATCAAACATTTGATCAATTACATGCATGTATGAGACATCAGTAACAATATCATACATTGCTCCCTTCGTACTCTAGCTACATATAAGGTACCTACTGGGCAGTTTGGCGTTAACTAAAGGTGATTCCTCAGTATTATATTGTGCATCCCTACTGCGCACGATTTTTTGTGTCATAAGCGCATGCAAATGAGCAGATACACTTACACAACGAAAGAGAATTCCCTTAAGCTAAGCTTGACAGCGAAATAAATGCTCTTTTTCTCTTAAACGAGCATGGTGGCCTATATTTTTTATTGCATAATTTCAATGAGAACAGTATCCTCAATAACTGACAAAAAAATTAGCAGAAATCTATGGCTGCTTTTTTGGCAAATGAAATAAATTCTACAGAGGGAGACATAATGGGCCCAACAGCACATGTCCAAATTATGTTTCCTTTAAAGGATTAAAAAATGCAGGGTGTTTGAAGACATTTTTTCTGGGACGTAGATGAATAAACAATCAAAGAAAGTCAAACTCTGTGCGATATAATGCACTGCATTGAAAAATAATCGAGCTTATTTGTTGCAAACGGAGATTACCAAAAGTCACCTGAATAACCATATTTGTCAGCATTGTGGTATGAAAACAAGCATGGTGACCCCCACTTTTTATTATGTTTTAAATAACTCCATGTCCTGTAACAACAGCATACCAAGTTTCATCGGAAATCTATGGCAGGTTCTTTTACTAGGGAATCACCTTAATTAACAGTCAGGATAACCATCTCTAAGATTTGGACAAGGTTATAGTTTCTAATGGTCAAAGAAACAAGTCAAAGCAAAAAACAATCAGTCTACAGCTAGTTGTATTCCTGTGGTGAATAATGTTATCTACCAGATATAAAGGTTATTGACTGTAAGTAAGATGGATAGTTATTTGCCGAACTCTTTTAATGTCTTTGCTGTTTTGGCCACACTTAGAGTAACGTTGTTGATGTTGCAAGTTTGTTTCAAACCAAGCATGTGGTAAATTTGAAACAAGCAGCACTGATTGGTTTCGAAAAAACTTGTGGCATCAAAAATGTTACTCAGAATGGAGGGGAAATTATGGGTGTCGTGGTCTACTGGGAAGAGAAGCAAACTATACACTGCAGACCAGCTGGCCTTGGCTCAAAAGAAAAACAAAGCCAGGATCCAGCCAAGTAATGAAATATGCTTAGTGAAGGATTTGCTGTTATGGCACAATTTTTAGAGATAGGTATCTGTATCCACTTTCACCCATGCATAGACCAGGGAGATAGGTAGTCCAAGCACAGATGAAAATTGACACAGGAAACAATTTTACCAGAGATATACCAAAATTCCTGTCTAGGGTAAACCGGTTCTTCATAGATACACAGTGAGTATTGGCTACAGATGTTCATGTCCAGACTATTACATCTAGGTCAATAAGAATCAACTGTAACAAACTGAAACACATTGCAAAGGCCAACTCTAGAGTGGCAACTGTGATCTGAATTAGTGAGTTAAGCTTAAGCTCAAATCTCAGAGCCACAGAATTGTAAAAAATATCTGATTCTGGCCTGAAGCAATTCTTACTTTCAAAAATTCAGCAAGCTCTGCTGCAAATCACTAATTGTAAACGTAAAATCGGCAATAAAAATATATTTCGCAGAATCGATCAATCCATCACAAAAGCTAAGAAAAGCACCAAAAATTAAGCTGTACTGGTAACAATTGACTGTGAAATGAGCAAGGCTTTAAATTTTTAGCCAGTATCACCAATCAATAAGTTTAAGAGTTAATCATCGGCGTGCAGCTTAGTGGGTTTATAGTTCACGTGAGCACGATCTCACAAAAGAAAGCTATGAGTGAAACGCTCGTTGATAAGTAGAAAATTTGGAATTCGCGCCCACTGCAGTCACAGTCTGCAAAAGTCAATTCTGACTACAAAATAACCCAGTATTCTCTACTCTTATATAACAAGAGAAAAAGTACAACTTACTAACGGGAACTGATCCACTTTTTCACGTGCAGTTCTGGACAAAATTATATCTGCGAATCCTCGCAAATGTTTGTCTCGTCTAGCAAATTTTGCAAAAAGTCCGCCATCTTTGTTTGACTCGGTTGCCAAAGGTTATAGTCACGTGATATCTTTTTTTTGGAGGGTCAAATCAAAATGGCGGACGAAGTGATGCAAGATGACTTCAAATGTACAGCCGGAATCATCATTATTGGAGACGAGATTTTAAAGGGTCATACAAAAGATACGAATTCTTATTTTCTACTGAAGAAGCTGTGGTCCTTAGGAGTCAAGGTGGGAAAAGTGTCGGTCATTTCGGACGATGTGGATGAAATTGCTGGTGAAGTGAAAAAATTCTCTTCTCGATTTTCCGTCGTCATTACCACCGGTGGAATTGGCCCTACTCACGACGATGTTACAATGCAGGGAATCGCCAAAGCGTTTGAGGAAGATGTAGTCCTCAACGAAGAGTTAGTGAGGTTGATTTCGGGTGTGTATGAACTTTCAGAACATCAAATCAACTCGTCCCATCTGAAAATGGCCCGTGTCCCTTCCTCAGTCAAGCTGTCTTATGGAAAAGATTCGTCTGGGGAACCGAGCAATTTTCCGCTTATTTCTGCACATAACGTGTATGTATTCCCTGGTGTCCCCCAGCTCTTGGAAGAAGGGTTTGGCGTTTTAGAAAGCCTTCTATTAATTTCGAACTCCAAGAAACGTTTTTTCCTGCGAAAGATTTTCCTCTCGGCAGACGAAACAGATGTAGTTTCTATTTTGGATGAGGTGGATGAGAAATTTAAAGGGATCGTACATTTAGGATCGTATCCTAATGTCTGCAATCAAGAATTCAAGGTCAAGTTGACCGTGGAGTCAGACAGCGTGAATGGCCTGGAGGAGGCCTGGCACTACCTTTTGGCAAGATTGCCTGAGGACCTTATTGTGAAGACAGAAGGAGGTGTTGCTGATGCATCAATACCAAACTGTAAGTCATGTGCTACTGTGTTTCCCCTTTCCAAGGGAAAAGGAATTCATCACAAAATAAATGTTACCCTAATGGGATGGTTAAGGAGATCATGCCCTCAGCCATCTCTCGTCTTCTCCAACTACAGTGAAAGATAAGAAGACTTGATCACAGGTTAAAGGTGCAACATCCAAAAATACTAACTCCTCATGTAGTAATGTTCTTCTCTTTGGCTTCCTAAGGTGGATTCTGGGTTGATGGGGGTGGGAGAACTGAAACCTACACTGTATAATTATTGAGTTTAGTTAAACCTTGATATCTTGACCTGATTTTCATGTATCTCAAATCCACGGCTGTCTCAAACTCTAATAAATTTCTTTTGGATATGTTTTTTCAGTCATTTACAATCGGCTATCTTAAATCCCATTTCCTTTGGGAGTTTGAGTTACCAGGGTTTAAGTGTGTGAAAATTTCAAATGACCAACCAAGCCAGTCAGTCAGCCATTGTTATGCTTAATACAGGGTTGCCACAGGTCAGGAAATGGTCAGGGGAAAAAACTTCTTCAAGGTCAGCAAAAAGTTAGGGAATTTTACTTTGAGTCAGGGAAAATTGAAATAATATAGCACAGCTGATTTAATACCATTGAAGGCTGGAAGAAACATTTGGAGTCACAATGATATTTTTACTTAATGGAGAAGGAATGGCAACTTATCAGTCTTATTCAATGAGTGGAAAGGAGGGCTCTAAGTTAATACCAAAAGCCACTGCTAGTTCTGACATTTTGTATTTAGTTGGTCAGGGAAATTTTATTTTGATCAGGGAAAAGTCAGGGAAAAGTCAGGGAATTTTGATAAGTGTGTCTGTGGCAACCATGTAACAATAATGCAAATATTGTCACTTGGTTAATATCTAAGTGTTGTATTTTAATTTCTGTTTTTTCAACAGGTCCATCCAGTCAACCTCCAAATGAGGACTCTAAGCGGGTACTGAACATGGAAAAAGTGTACTGTCTACTGGATCCCAAGGATGAGTCAAACACGAGTGCCTGTGTTAAAGGAGCATGGGCCATTATACAGCAAACTCTACAGCTGTATTCCTTGGACGAATTGTGTATCAGTTTCAATGGTGGCAAGGACTGCACTGTACTGTTGCACATGTTACATGCTGTGGTTAATAAGCTGTCAACCCCACCCCAAAAACTGAAGGCTTTGTACATTCGCTATGACTCACCATTTCCACAAGCAGAAGAGTTTATCTCAGAAACAACTGAAAGGTATAATTTGAACCTCATAACTATGATGGGAGATATCAAAGCAGCTCTGAAGACTTTGAAAGAAACTCAGCCTGTAATCAAAGCAATTTTGTTGGGAACTAGAAGGCATGACCCTTTTTCAGATGCACTACGCACTTTCTCTCCAACAGACCCAGACTGGCCACACTACATGAGGGTAAATCCAATTTTGGATTGGCATCATGCTGATGTGTGGTCTATGATCAGAGAGTGCAGTATTCCATACTGCTGTTTATATGATGAGGGATACACATCACTGGGAAGCACCCACAACACAACCCCAAACCCTGCCTTAAAATATGACGACGGTAGCAACAAGTACAAACCTGCTTATATGTTGGAAGATGGACACCTGGAAAGGGCTGGTAGAAACTGAAAACCTTACTACAAGGCAAAAAAATTTGATTTCTCGTGATAATAAGTTGAATAAGAATTTGTTTACCCCACAAAGGCACTAAGTTAAACCCAAAATCTAACATTTCCATTATAATTTTTAGTTGTTTCACAACTGAATAATTTGTTTCTTAGTGACAAAATTTCTTGCTGTTACCAAGGGCTCTATCTTTTCTCTGTCAAGACATTACAGTACTGATAAATAATGTACAAATACATATACATGTACATTGTTGGTGGGAAGTACATACTCAAGAGTGTCTAGTATTCACAAACTTCCTAAAATGTAAAGGGGCAACCCCTGAAAAAAAACAATGTGGGAACTCCCTGAAAGGAATTTAATTTTTATGGCAATACGCATGTACAGCTTTTAAAATTTGATCTATGGTTTCATCAAGAATTAAAAAAGTAGAACAACCTTACGTGACCTAATAGCCAGTGAGAGCACAGGAAAGTACTGTTCAATAACTTTCACTTGAATGGTCACACACTAGGGTTTCATCCATAGACTTAGAACCACCTGGTACAGAATACTAAACAGTGCTGAGTGAAAGTACTGCTCAATAGCTTTCATTTGAATGGTCACACACTAGGGTTTCATCCACAGATGTAAAAGTTAGAACCACGTACAGCACAATAAACACTGAACTTGTAATATAGAATATTATCTCTGTCAATTAACTCTGTTTAGGTCTTAGTCAAAGTTTCTTGTCAAGTTCATTTTTCCACTATGTGCTGCTCTACCCATGCAATTTATTTGGATTTTTGGTTGCTATATATGGTTTTTGTAACTTCAGTGCTTGAAATAATTTCTCAGCTGGCACTGGTCAAGTTGTCCAATCAAATCTATTTTTGCTCAGACAAGAAATAATTTTGACTGGACAATTATGCATTATGTCATAATTCCTAAACAA